CCCCCTTCCTCCCTCTGCCCCCCTCCCCCATCCCCTGCCACGTCAGCTGTTTATCCTGACAGTGCTGCAGATACTCCTGTCCTTCATCGTGAACACACCGGTCGCAGCCCTGATTATGCTCTACAATAGTAGGGATATTACGTCATCGTTTCTTGTTGTTCTTCCCATAGACTTGTTCTTTAAAAACCCTAGACTGGGCAGTTCCGAACAGAGAGTATTTAGGTTCTGAATCACTGTAGGGAGCTCTATATTTAGTTTGTCTCTTTCAGAAACCAACTGATGGGCAAGGAGGGGAGAGATGTGCACACACTCGATTATAGTTAGCCTGTGTTTTTTGCCCTTCATTTTGGAGTACATTATGCGCACCAGCGATGATAAGTAACGTTTATATTTCGCTTGCGATGCTTATCATTATATACTAGCTGGGCCCCCTTTCGATGAAAGGAATGATCGGTGCTTTAACATTAACTGACAGTCATTGGCCTACTATATTTACACTCTACTGGAATGGAATGAAATATCACTTCCGGCACTTCCGCCAAATAAGGACAGGAACTTTTTGTCTAATATATTTTTCTAAATTCAGGAAATGAATAACTAAAAAAAAACGGGTTCCATCATGGGACTTATCTATCTTTTTGCGAGTACTTGCCAACTTTCAACTCTGTAGCTGTCTTAGTTTATTGAGAAAAGTAACACATGTGTTTCCAAGTTGTCACATTATTTTATATAGAACTAGCTGGGCCCCCTTTCGATGAAAGGAATGATCGGTTCTTTAATATCAACTAAAAAAAGTAATTGGCCTACCATATTTATACTCTACTGGAATGGGGCAATAAATCATGAGAGATGCAAAAAATTAGAAGGTCTAGATCTATACTCTCAAAACAAAATGTGCCTCGCGAAATATCCTTTCCGGGTTTTCTAAAATTACAGACACAAAAGCGTCGGCCTACAAAAGCGATCGGCGAAATAAAGAAATTTAGCTTTTTGCAGCAAAACTGTCTCAAAACTGAAAAAAAAACCAAGGGCGTCATGATCTGGAGAATAATTTAATGAATCTTTTGGCGAAAACCGCATGTCGATCGATGCAGCCATTAAAAAACCTTTTTAAAAGCAACATTCGGCCACCACAAATAGATAATAGAAGCAACGATCAGTGACCATGACAGTGGCTCAGTCTAGTGAAATGAATAATTGAAGTCTATGGTTTTTTCTCTGTTCGTTTCTGTTTCTGGGGTTACTGACGTCATTGTTTCTTGTTGTTCTTCCTCATTTATTTCTATTTCCCAAGTTACTTCGTTCTCTTTTGTGGGTACAATATGTAAGGCAGCGTGGTGGAACCAGGCCCTCGTCAATTTTTGGCCATGTAGAGTTATTGGTATCATCTTAAAGCTTGTTCATTTGTCTTTATTTGGATGAAAATGTTATCCATTTACCTTGAATACAAGTCGAGATATTTGTGAACGAAGGAGGTGGGGGTCACCTGTTTTCAGAGGTAAAATTAGTGAGGAAATGGCCGCCAAAGACTAGTAATTTCCTTAGCATAAGAGTCCGCGGTAACTGAAAATTTACATTCTTTGTGCCTTTAATCCACGTTTTCCAGAAAAATCCACACCAGAATAAGTTCTGTAATGGGCATGAAAGGTGTTGAGCAAAAAAAAAATTTTAAAAGTGATAAAAATTCACAAACCTGCGGAAAATGCAAGTTTCTTCACTTTGATTATTTTGACGAGAGCCTGATTCCACCACGCTGCCTCACATATGTAAACAAAAACTATGGTTCCTAATTTTATTTTTGCTTTTTTATTTTTTTTTAAAGGACGTAGTTTTTAATAAGTTTATAAATGGTGGGTAATATTATAGGAAATGTGATTATTGTTCTAGAGAGGGGCTCTTGATAAACAGGTTTTTTCAAGACAGCATTTACACAAGCATGGCATCTTTATCTTCAAAGATAGCCGGCTCACTGCAACTTATTTACTAAGCTACCCCCACCACCCACCCCCCCCC